ACTACTAGTTCAATTTTACTTTATTACACAAATATTCTTCATTAGATTTCATTGCTTACAATGGTTTCCCAGGAAACACACACAGCAAACACTGCCACGGTCAAAGTGGCAAATATTAGTCCATTTATGTAAACTTTGTGTCCTGTCTTACCTACCTAGAAAACAAAAACCTCCAAAGAACAATATTCAAATATTTCTTACCAATAGGAGTTTTATCCAAGTTGATTAAAACAACTAGTGGGAAGCTTATATTAGAAAAAAATATTGGTAAGACAGCTCTGCAGATACAGTTCTGGTCTGTAGCAGAACTCTGATTCTACAAATCAAACAAACCTTCCCGTGCAAGAGGAGGCAGTTAAATATATATGCAGACCTGTCTGGTGAGTCTGCAGTGGTTAGAAGATGTCTTTGTTGAAGAAACATGAGTGTCAGCTCTATCCATGTAAAGAAGCAACTGTCGATGCAAGATCTTTTCTGGAACACTGGAACAAAATCTCACTACTGAGTAGCATATAATCAAAAATGTATTTACTTGGCAGAATAGAGCAAGTGACAACAATTCGCATTCAACTAAACACACACATGTGTCCTGCTTAACAAAACATACACAAATCAGAGCCTTCTGCTCCAGTTTAGTTCAGCTCAACATGGACCTACAGCAACAACCCAAAGAGTTGGCATGTTGGGTTGGTGGCTGACAGTCTGGGCCCTGTGTGCAGCGGTTCCTCTTCAGCTCTTAGCTTCTGCACAGACTCCAACAGCTGCATACGGTGTTCCCCGCAGGGGCTTTTATTTTAAGAATTTATTTTTTTTTATTTGTATTTGTTTCTCAGTATAAGCCCCCAATGGTTTCTCTACTCTGCCCTAGGGCAACCAGCAGCTACCACCATTTTTCATCCCTCTCCTGGCTCTCAGCAAAGACGTTACAAGAATATTATCCAGCTCATATGGAATTAATCCAGTCGATTCAAGCTGGGTGGATGAAGCCAGTGACAGTGGTTATAAACACAACAAATGTGGGAGAAAAGTAAACAAACAAAAAACCCCAGAGGTTCATATCTCTAAAAGACTCAAGTAGTAAAATGCACACGAACCACAAAGCACCTAGTCTTGTCTTCTCTAAGAAACAAAGGCACGCACAGGTGTCTACAGCTTTTCTTTTTCCATGAAAGAGTTGCTATAAGACTAAACACAAAGGACTATCCTTTTGGATGAACAACCCTTCACCACCCRGATAGACATAGACAGGGTGAGAAAAAACCCCCCTTGAAAAATAACAACTAAGACCAGGGGGAGAGAGGCCCCAGCACTATCCCTGAATTATAAAATCATGCTTTAAGGACTATACATCAGCATGTGATGGGTTAACTTCCATTCTGAGTTATTTCACAAAAATCATAAGCCACACAAAGCCACTTTCATTGAATGTTTGTGAATACATCTGAGTCTGAAAGCTAAAATTGTTCTGCTACAGATATCCAAAGAATGCTTTAAAAGAAATCTATGCSACATGGTGTATTTTACTTTGTTAATACTGTTTCAATGGTTTGTACCAAATGCTGTTATCAATTCCCTCAAGCTGGACCAGATGAGGCAAATCAGTATTGTCCTTCTGACTCACTTTTAACAACACACTAATTTATCTGCTGAGTATTTTACAGTGGACTGAAAGAAGTCTGCAAGTTGATTCTGATCAGAATTTGCCCTTTCATTTTGTTTTCAATTATAATAACCTCAGGAGATCTGGCATTTCTCCACTGAAATATATCTTTCGTCAATGACTTTTTCCATCAGTAAGGCACCTGTAATGTCCCTCTGCTACAATTTAAGTCTCTTCAATACCCTAAATCAGCTGTGCAAAATATATATTAACACACAGCAATATCCAGAGTGTGAGTACTATCACTGAAGCTTGATACTTTTATTCAAATACTGTGCTGAATTGGCACARCAGTGAATATTCTTTATGATAAATGAAAACAGAATCATCTCAAATGCAGTTTTTCCCCTGTTCATTCATGAAGGCTGTTTAAGTCATACCAAAAATACAATATTTATTTCTTAGAATGAGTTCAAATAAACTTATTTTACACAGCAACATTTTATATACAATGAACCTCATTAAAAACAATATCTTACTGTGGCTATTCTTAAAGCTTAGCTTTCACCATTTAAAGGTTTGTTTAAATTTTTCATTTGAAGGGTACTTGATTATAGTTCTAATGCTTGCAATATACAATAACTATATAATTTAAGAAGGAGAGCCAAGACTTGGTTCTGCTTCGTCACCAAACTGCCTTGTGCTTTTGTTACGTGTCTGTACCAATGTAAGTACTCCAAATGTATATGGCCAAATATAAGTTGTCTTATGTGTTGGAATCACTAATGGCCCTTACTGATGGCTTTTAAGAATACCTAGAGGTAAAATGCAGAGGTGTTAACATGAGAAAATCTTACACTGGGTAGAGAAGCAACAAGAGGCCATATAAAACACCATGATTATCTTTTAGGATAGAGCATGAGAATTTAGCACCACAAACAGAATTCCTTGGTTTTTTGACACTCCCAAAGTAAAAAATGGTTTTTTTAATATAAACTTAAGATCTCCCTTGCAGTAAATGTTCCAGTTGCCAAAGGTCCCACAGAAAGGGCACGTAATGAACTTCGAAATGTTAACCAACTGGTGTAGGGGATGCTTAGCTGACTATAAGCCCCTTGAGGCTCAAAATTGGCATCAACTCCAAACAAAGCTAGGATATAATGCCTGGCAACCTCACGTTACAGCTAAACAACCATCATTTTATTCTGCTTCTCTACATCAGAGAGTTTTCCAGTTGAATTAGGCCTGCCTAGCTGCTCTGTGTAGATCGCAGCTCTATAATACTGACAAATATGATGCAGCGAGCAGAGCGCAAAAAAAAATAAAAGCACATTCTTGCCTTTCCAGAGTGCAATATTCTTGTGCAGTGTAACCCACGGTAGCCAAATGAAGTCTCCCTGGTTATTACTTACTTAGTGCTGTAAAAATATTACTATGACATTTCGTCTGGTCAACCATCTTAAAGGTTAATTCTCTCTCCTATTTGAGGTATTCCTCTAGGTGAGCCATTCCACGCAGCTTCTATTTACCGATTCCAAACAACCCACAAACTGTTTCATTGCTCACTTGCACTGTTAAGAACATATTGACTGGCTGCCTGCTCTGCTGTTTAATTCATTTATGCTGAGAGTCAGGCATGAAGACAGAATTTTAAATGTGACATTTACAGGCTGTTGGGTCATTTGAAGCTCTGACAACACCAGCGAGCTCCTGACATACAAACTGGTCCAGATTTCCAATCTTCCATGTTCTGAACACATCAGATATTCCTCCCAGAAGTGCAGATCACAGCCAAAAGTTTTGTATGTCCCTTGTATTTACATTTTGCAGGGGAAAAAAAAACCTGTACATGTGAAAGTTTTAAAATTAAGCTCATGTTTCCTTTAAGGTAAAACTAGCTTGTCTGTAGCAAGCAACTCAACTGCTTAAAAGCACTGATTGACAAAGAAAGATCTACAATAATAATTAATTGCTATAGAATTTTATAAACCACTTTGACATCTAGTGAACTTTCATTTGCCCCTGTTGATCTTTAACCGTTCAACTCCTGCTAAATCTGCAGCAGGGTATTGAACATCTCTGACTTATTTCTACCCTGACCGATATCAAGTTCCATTTTTCAGGTTGAAAGGTTTTGGTGTCTCAAAGCAACGAAGGGGCTGTATCATTCTGTCTCCCAAGGTGAACTGTCACGATCCTCCCCTTTTCTATCCCTTTCCGTTACTTTTCCAGAGTAAATCTGATTACCTAAAATATTCCATATTGTAAAACACAGTTAGGAAAACAGTAATCTGAACTGTTCAGACCTGACTTCAGAAAATTTAGCTTCTCTATCCCTGAAGCAGGACAAGTATCTAAAATAAGCCCAAAAATAATTTTTCCTGGAACAATTCCAGTTAACTGAAACATRGCAGCATCACTTTGTTTTTTTGAGAGCATCACCAAGAAGTGAGATACTAAGTCTCAAGACCTATATTTTAMAAATTTTATGCATGTTATTGGCCACAGATCATTCCAGAGGAGGCAGAGTCCAATATCATAAGCGGTCAAGAATTCAGCTGCAGAAGGAAGAAATAGGAATACAGGTTGGGCTACCCACATCCTACCAGTAAGATGGACTGAGAATTAGGCTTGGACCTTGAGCTTGGAGAATAGTGTAAGCAAGAAAAGAATCTTCAGCACAGAAAAGATTTCTTACCCCTTCTGAGCATGGATTCATAATGAAAACTAAGACAATTTGCAATAAAAAACATAATTCTGCTATACAATCTCAACTTAAATGTCCATATCAGCCCTCATTTGTTTGTCCCTCATTTAAGGGACATTTCATTTAAAGACACAGTTGAAAGGTATAAACTAACCTGTTTTTCATTGTGCAAAAAAAAAAAAAAAAAACAAAAAACAATCAGAGAAAAAAGTATGCAAAAAAAACCTGTACAAAGTAGAATGTACAAAGTCACTGCTGTAGCTGAAAGTGGAAATACTGCTAGCACTTCACTTGGAATTATATTGGGATGGGAAATTGTTTTCCCTGCTCAGCTCTTCATGACAATTACACCACAGTAGTGATGCTACACTTCAGCTATGTTTTCAGGAGTGGGAATACAATTTGATTCAAGATACAAATTACAAGGAATTCGTGGATTTTTTTTTCTTTTACTTCAGTAGACACATACAGTTTTAACAGCAACCTCTGAAGTTAGCACTGTGTCATACTGCAAGCATCTTTCCATTGCTGTGTTCTGAATAACGCTTTTAAAATTTAATAGTTGTCATCTGAACAAGAATATGTTGTTTTTACATACTTCCAGCATAAGCACAGTGATTCTCTATGACCCAGAAAAGCACRTTACAGATGTTGTTTATCCTCAAAGAACATCCTTAAAATAGAAAGGCCTACCTGGTGTATTATCTGAGCCACAGGAAGCTGCTCAGCATACTTTAGTGGTTCTGCTGCCAATTCCTCCTTTGGAGGCCTAGGAAGAAATTAAGTTAACAGTTAAGAAAGTTCTCACAATGGTAAAGGTAAATTACTGAAATTCAAGAATTGCAGATGTATTGCTGCTAAAAGCATGCATCTAAGGGAATATTTTGCTTAAAGTGAAAGAAAAGTATGTTTTAAATCCTTAAAAGTATTTTTTTTTAATGTAGTTAAGAACAACAAGTTATTTAAACAGAAAAGTGTGTGTTCCTGTGGATACCTTCCTTCCTRTAAGACACATAAAACACAAATTTAGGAGCAGAAACCCAAGGAAACCTTTTAATTTAGTTTCAGAGAAACGGAACGCTGTTGAAAGATGATGGATTAAAATCCCCTTAGAAAGAAGTCTTTGGAGTTTACAGAGTTGACTCCGCACCATTAAAAATACCAGCTTCTTATCCTGCTAACATAATTCAACTACAAGCAAGAGGCGATTTCAAAAGGCAAGAGGGATTATTCACTCTATTTCCCATTTTTTGCTGCAAGTGCCCATTGGCATTCAGCAAAGTTAAAATAGTACAAACCCTTGTTCATTTTCTAGTGCAGTAATGTGTCCTACTGGTTTCAAACAAGCCAAAGAACTGGTCTGAATAGCAGCAGGAGGCAGCTTTACAAAGCAAATGCATCATTTCCCTTAAAACTTAAAATACACTGCAGTTACAACTGAAAATTCAGAATCCAGAAACACTCTCCTCAAAGACTATTTAAGTGGCAGCAAATTAATATGAAAAAAATGTTTTAAAACTTTCAAGTATGCTGCTTTCTTCTATTGAAAATGCACAGCATGCGCTACATTTTCAAAGCATGATTCAAGGTTTTCATCAATCATTCTTCAWTTCTTCTACTAGAGGTCTAAATCTAAGATTTTCAGGTAACATGAGACTAAAGAAAGGGAAAAAATCCTCATTAAAATAACGTCTTTCTCTGTTCAAGCAGAATTCCTCCACAGTGGGCAAGACACATTTTCCAAACTAATTTACACCCTTTCTAGTCAAAACAGATCCATCCGTGGATGGCTAATTGATCTGTAGGTGGTCTGTCAGGTGAGTGTCAGGGACTACAAGGTTAGACTCTGTGCTGGGAGCTAACGTGTTGTTGTGAAAGAGAGGATGGTAAATGAACATCCCTTCCTTTCTCCAGCTCTGGCTTTCTGCTGTTGTTTGCAGCCTTTTTAAACAGCAAGAGCTTGTGTAAAGAGGAACACTCACCAGTCTGTAACAAACAGAGTATAAGAAAGTATGAAAGACTTTAAAAGAAATAAATAATTAGAGCAGAATCAAAGCAATCTGGCAGTATTTCAGAGATCACRGCCATAACTCCTCTGGAACTGTTTAATGTGCTTAAGAAAAAATAAGGAAGCAAACTCTGAATGACTGAAGCTGATCTACTGAAAGAGCTGATCTACTTAAAGGGATTTTAAGAGAGGGGACTACCAYGCCGATGATGAACTAACGCTCGCAGCGTGCTAGTTACTACTGYCTGAATGTCAGTAACAGTGATCTGTGCCCCAAAGAGGTGACAACTGAATCAAGTAATGATTTTATTGTGTTCTGTGGAAATACCATAAAAAAAAATCACCCATTTCAAAAAACCTTTCTGATGGTATATTACTTTCTACAGGACAATTCGCAATCAAGTGCCTTTACGTGAAATGCTCAGGTCTTTCTGAGCTGTCTGAAAAGGTTTCAGGGTATCCACTGCTGAGTAAATGCAGGTCCAGATAACTAGTGGTAGCGTTAATTCTTCTGAAATCCTATCAATTGATTTAAATACATACCAACTACAGCAGTAAAGCGGAAGGTACAGAGCATGAAAATACCATYGTTAACATTCAGATACAAGCACAAGAGCTTAAAATGACTTCATAGCCAAGGATTCTCCCAATGAAGAAATACAGACGATCTCACACAACAGAAATACAGACCTACTTGTTCTGCTCCGTTACTAATTCATTCTCTCACATGCAGTAGGCAAGGAAATGCAGAATGCAAATGGAAAATAAATGTGCCCGAGAAGGCACATTTAAGTGCTGGGATCAGTATAGTAAATAAGCCTCTTAGCTATGAAAGTTGTTCCTTGGCTTTGTTCATCATAGGCAGGTACTTATCAATACAGCATCACTTTATTAACAGACCTTATTTTGCATCAACTCACAAATACTTTAACTCAGAATGAATGTTTCTGCTTAATTTCATTACTAATTTGCATCATTCTTGAAGGTACAACTCCTGACCAGCAAGTATATCCTTGCTTATTTAGCTACCCATGGTCAGCACAAATTTGAGGTGACTTCTGTTTCACTGGGATAATGCTAGCTGACACAGCACCTTGGTTTATGGATTCCAGATGCATAAACCCATTTTTAGTCACAGTTCTATATATAAAAGCACTGTACACAGAACAAAATATTCATGCAGATCTCAAACACTATCTCCAAAGTCTACATTGTAAACCTGTAAAAAAAAAAAWTTACAGTAAAATCACTACCACATTTTACACTAGCCTGAAGATTTACTAGTGCACTAACACTGGTCCTTCCAGCAGCACTACCTGTAAAAGGATACCCACTTCTAAAGAAAACAAAAAGCATAGAAAGACCATGACTAGAAARGAGAGAAAGATAAACATAGAAAAGGATGTTCTACTTTTTCCTCTGCTTTTCAGGGTGGAGGAAAAGAAAAGGTTAAGAGACAGATTGTCTCAATTTCATCATCATCTCTCTTTCAAGTATGATCTTGCTTCTGCCTTTCACAGCGGGGTGTACCCACTTCTCTCTTCCAAGGATAACTCCCAGATGCCTGGAGTTATATCCACTTTTTCTCAAAAAAAGGTACATCAAGGGAAACAAACAAAAAATCTTCTCAGTAGGTGGAATTTTTGCTCAAGTCACATTTGATGCAATCTGAGGCTSTAATTTCACAAAATAGCTGGCCTTCTCACCATGTAGTTAATTTATAGCTGACACTTAAACATTTATAAAATTAAGCAGCAGTTTATTGCAATGCAAAAATTTTTCTTTCCCAATTTTTCTCTGCTTAATTATTTCTCTGTTTAATTTCTTTGAAAACAATTCCACTACAACAACAAAAGTCATTTTTTTCTTAATTAATTTTCCAGCAGGAAGTAGTCCTTTCTGTCTCAATTGAGCATGACAGCAGAGCGCTGCCAACAGTGCCAAAGCAAGCTAATACAGTGGCATGTCAGCATATCTGCAGCATGCCTGACAGCTGGTAATGCAAAGCATAAGGAGATCTTGATTTGCAGGGAGAAGACTAGAAAGAAACACAAAATCATAACAGAAGTGGGAAGCAGCAAGAAATCGCAAATGAGAAGAATCTTGAAAACTTTGATTTGGAAGTTATTTTTATATTGCCACCGTGACTGCTCTTAGATGGAGGAAAAAGAGCATGAAATGGAAACGGTGGAAAGGGGATGTAAATCCAGTAAAATGTGTCAATATCTTTAGTGAAAAATCTTATTTGTTATTTATATTTACATGCTATTCCATGGGAATAATCCCAAGAAAATCAACACATTCTAGAAATCCCTATTATCAAGAGGTGTTATGCTTTGCCACAAGTGCTAATCCAGCCTGTGGACTGCTCCACAGAAGAGCTGCACTGGCTCTAGGGGATGGACGCATTTTATCTTATGCAAGTATGGCAAAAATCGTGGTGAGAAAAGAAAGAGCAGCATGTGATCACTAACTGCTTTGCTCACTGCAGAATGGGTCTGTTAAGACACTTCGAGAGAGAAAAAAAATCTTGCTAAACAGCACAAATTTCGGCACTCAGCTATAAAACTTGGTTCCCTGGGTACTTGCTAATTCTATGTGTTACTGTGACGAAGGACRGTATTTCTTCCTTCCTACACTGTCCCTAGATTTGCTGTCTCAAACGGCCCACACTTTTTTCTGCGTATGAAACACGCATRGGTAATACCACAGCTCTTTGAAAGTATTGTTCCTTGAAGTTAGGTTCTAGTATATAATCATCTCGCTCAGAAACGGCAGAAAATCAAAGTCAGAGTGTTAACAGCGTAAAGAGAACAGGCTATCAGAGGCAGAGATATTAAAGAAGAAGGGATTTAGGGATTACCTTCATCTTTATTAGCTGCTGACATATTTAACGCGCACTGCTCCCAAACTGAAGCCTTGTTTGTTTAACAGGTAACTTATGAATAGTATAAATGAAAATAAAGTAATGGATTGTCCTGCTTCTAAAAGTGGCTCAAAGTCAAAAATAGCGCAGCTGATCTGACAGGCAGTATGTGATCAAAGGATACAAAAACATGCAGCAGCAGTAGCAGCAGCAGCCTAAACCAGATATCCCAGAATGAAAGGTTGAAATTATTAATCTAAATCCATGTATAGCACTGATAGCTTTATTGACTGTAAATACATGAAYGTGTTTGCATCTGGCAATAAAAAGAAAACAAAATACCACAGGTTTATGCACCACATCAGAAAAAGTTATTAGGTACCCTATTAAAGAGRGAGTGAAATGGGCTATGTCGGGTTTGAGTGAATAGTTTTTAAAATTGGCCATTGAGAAATTTATCTACCATGCCCATACTACAGAAGATTAAGAATGAGACCTTGGATCAATGCCAGGTACTTGATCTAGTTTACACATTCTTAAAAATAGGGTATGTATAACCAGTAAGAATACCAATGTAAACTGAAAATGCCAATGCTYGAAAAGGAAAGAACTGCTGTCCCTCTATAAATACACTACCTAATTCCTTTCTTGGTTTTTTTTTTTTTATTTAACAAAGAAAGCTAACATTAGGATATAAATATGTTAAATCATACCTCTAGTAGCAAATAAGAGTAAAAAATATTCAGAAGTAGAAGCATTCTAGAGAGTTCCTCACAGTGTCACCTTTATAGTATTRATTTCTTCAGAAGTCAAAATGATTCTTTAGGCTATTTAAGAAAACATTTCACTGTGGAGCAYTGTCTCTGCATGCCTTGCTCAGGTGAGTGCAGCCGTC